GATGCAGAGAAAATGGCCCCTTAGACGATCGTTGTAATATCTAAAAGCTAAAAGCGCTGAAATACGCCGCATTCGAGCTGCGGGCAGGCAACTGAAAAATGCTAAGTGACATTACAATGGAGAATGCGTTGGTATACAGCGAAATGCTGCTACATTTCGACTGCCCCTTTTGGAAACGTACGCCGCTGTTCAAAGCCCTCCACTTTTATATATCTCGTTTTATTTTTGTAAATTCAAATACGAACTGTAGTTAGTTGAACGTTCGTTTGTAAATGGAAATACAATGACGATTGGAACGACATGCTGATGATAATTTGAAAATAACAAATGACATAAAAGAAGTTTTTAATGATTAGGAAAGAGCCAGAAGCGATGCTTGATTAACATAAACTTATAAGAGAAAAAGTAACAAAAAAGGATTCAAAAACCTTTACGATTGCGAAAATGTTATATCCTTGTTCCTTTGTCTAGAGTTCAATAGCAGATGACGATGATAATTCCTATCAAACTTCTAAAAAAATATTACCCTGTCTACGTCGTATATTTTAAAACAACCCTTATAAAATCATTTATTATCCTCCGAGAATCGCAAGGTATTGTGTAAAAGCGGATAATGCAACGTGAATAACAAAGATGATTTTTCTTAAACGCCGTAGCTAATAGAAAATATTCTTTAAGACCGTTTAGTTAGACGCCGGCTCGTCCATTGTAACTACAAAGACGGGAACATCAAGTGTCACCGGTTCGAACGATAAAAAATAATGCAAATTCACTTCAAGGCCCCGGCCCGTGAAATAATGCTCGATCGTTATATAGATAAGACAGTTTTTCCGTTAAATCGAGCCTCTTTCCTTCTTAACGACATTGTCCTTCGTTAAACGACAAAGTGATTCAGGTAGTCGTTTACGTTGAGTGTCTTTTTTCATTTGTTGGAGCGCAGCGTTGTAACAGGCTATATTGATATTGTTTTCAGTTAAAGTGCTCCTAGTTGTGAAGACTTTGTAAAACTCCTACCGTGTATAGACTTAAGAAACATAAGATTTCTATGCAGTAGAAATAAATGGTCATGTTTAAGTATTTTATGAGAAAATCGAATAGAAATAGACGTTATTTTAATGCTTAATCAAAATTGGGTTGATGCTTTTTCAGTGATATGAACAATATTAGTGTAAAGCCGGGGACAAACATGGGCGCGGTATGACAACACTTGTTGTGCTAGTCTGCGGGGAGCCTAAACAAATATGCGATAATGTACTCTCTATTTGCCTTCCTAATATCGAATATAATCAAGGACTATGAATCTTAGATGTGAATGTTATTAGAGAAAGTGACAAACTACGCAATTCTGACATTTATTGATAAGCTTTAATTACAGAGTTAATTACATGATCAAATTATGTTGCATTTGTTTAATTATAATGACATCGTTTAGATAACTAACATAGTCGTAGGACAAAGTAAAGATTTTCTTCGTCTTTTTACGTTTGCTAGTAATTCTAAAAAAAAATTAACACAGAAACTAGTGTAAAGCCTTCTTCCATTTTTAGTTTGAACTACACAATGTAAGCTGTACAGCTCAATTGAAAAACACAGTTTCAGGATTACAGCATCTTTATAAAATTTCCATATATTAAAAATAGTTTAAAAAAATCGACAAGCTTAAGTAACTCATAACGTATTTACTCTGTGGTATGAAAATATTAAATATTCCACATCAAGACGTGTTATGAATTAATTTGGCCAGTACCTGAGAGATTTAACGGGTGAACGCGTCGCCGAACTTTGTGCGGGCACGTGTCTACATGTCTTTTTGCTACTCTACACAGAAAATACTAAAGAACACGTTACATGCGGCTGATTTGTAATTTACATTACAAATGCAAATTGTTTGTTTTAACAGATTTATTCAGTTTTGATTGCTGTGTCTATAAATTTTCGTTAGTGTATAATTTTTATAATGTTACGAAATTCTAAACAAATGTCTAACCATAAAAGAATTAGACGCTGTTTTAATTAAGTTTTAGCTAAAATATACGTCGACGCTTTTCTATCGCGATTCTTGCGCCCAGTTTTTTGACAAATAATAATTATCGTTGGCTTGCGAAATGCGACCTTCACCCGTAAACAATAAAGCACATACACCAAAGCAATGTGATACGTAGTGATGGAACATGTAACCACTGCGACGTTCATAATATCAATCTACGGGAAAGAGTTAAAACACGTGTTAAATTAAACATTGTCTAACAATATTTTGGAATAACACAGCAATAGTTTAATAAATGCTGGGATTTTTGTTGCTGGCTTTTTCTAGTTGATTTTTGTCGGCGCTGTTCGTCGGTACATCGGCATTCGCTTGATTTATTTGACAAATAACCGAACGCCATTTGAAAGGAAACTGGCGTATTGTGAAACACGAATCGTAGCTATGTTTAAGTCAGTAAATCATATTCAGAAAAAAAGGCCATATAACAAATTAAGGTAGTTTTTCATTTGCTGTAACCAATAACGCTTTTGCTAAGAAAAATAGTATATATCTAATATTTGGATATTACAAAAATGATGTCGATTATACAAACATGTTTAAAACTCACTAATGTACTCACGTTCGTGATCCGGCCGGTCGAATGTAGATCTCAGCATGCCTGAAAATAGAGAAATAATTGTTAATTGTAACTGATACAATAAACTAATAATTAAATAAATAAAGAACTAGCTCTCGAGATTACCGCCATGTGGCGTATGATGTCGACTACCATTATTCCGATGGTCGTTTCAGTGCATGGGCTAATACTTAAAAACTTCAACCAAAATTCAAATAAACTCTTGCTAGGCAGTTGGATTAAGGCATTCAAAAGGCAGTTATTTTAGTACCGCACGCATTGTGAGGAGGTTCCTGTCTCTGCCCTGACCACTGGTTGCTTGAGTCATCGGATTCCGCAGCCAGTGGTGCTATATGTTTATATAATATGTTATTTTGCGTCATGTAAAATAAATAGTATACAAGATATGAAAATACAGACATATGAATATTAAAAAATAATAGCTTATCGTCAGTGTAATCTAAAAAATATAAATTCTTGATCAAACCTTGTCGCTTCCACCGATAGCAATCATGTTTATTGTTACAATAAAAGTTCTTTATTTGCAGCGAGGTAGCGTACTAAAGTTAATCGTTAATAATGCCGTATAAACTGCAAGTTACAAGTCTAGACGGTGACCTTTTGAGGAAATAAAATTTTAAAGTTCATTGACTATCGTAGCGTTGCAGTTTCCCTCGTAAAATACCAGATTATAGTCCGGATTTATTTGTTTATAGTCACAATTCGTAGAAATACTACCGCTTTAATACTAAAATAGAGACGTTACAATATTCACTAAAGGTTTATCCAAGTGTATAATAAGTCATAACTATATTTAACTTCATAAGTTAACTTTAACTTACACTTATTGTAGCTCTGAATATGTTTTAGGACTTAGTTTAAATTTCCAATTGTATCCAATTGATTGAACTCTATAGATATGTTTTTGTATAAGGCAAGAACTCTCAAAAGTCACAAAAATAACCATAAATTTGTTGTCCCTTACACTTAGAACAGAGTTACATATGTCCATTCATAAAAACATTGAACAATTAGTTTGTTTAACATGGCGAGCGGCGAGCGGTGAGCGTCGAGCGGCGAGATAGTACAAGATGCCTGCAGCGGTAACCGTGTAGATAAACGTTAACCATAATGATACAGAAAGTAGGGACAGTCCGGATTAGAAATAAATGGAAGGGGATGATGAAACTTACATATTGGGATTATGTTGCATCAAGTAAAAAATTATTGCTGTTTAGATGCATATAAAATTTTGTTATTTTTTATTTTTAGGAGACAAAAGCCAGACTTACTTCTTTCAAGGATCTAAGGTACAAAGAGCGATATAATACGAGATGATTGTTTAAGTACTATGTGACAGTTGGGCTGTGACGTTTATGTCAATCGGTGACAAATATTCAATCTATATTCTGCACAGAAAAACAACTGCCTACACTAGTTGACGGCGTGACCCGGTGCCCCTTACCGGCATGTAAATTGGTCGGTCCGTCCGTACGAGTGGACATTCTGGACCGTTTAGCACCTCGTAGCCTCAGTTCCACTGACGGAGCGCTGTCGAGTCACGTTGGGAATTTGATTGAAATTCGAGTTTTGGAATCGTTAGTGCTGTCACTCGAAAGGCCAAGTGAACAGACCAACAGGAATATTTGAAGCTTCATTTCGAATACAACAAGTTATTATTTTGATTGGCATTTATATAAAGTAGAGACAAAAAAGACTTTGTTAAGAAAAACATATTTAAAGAAACATTAAGTTGAAATAAAAAGTCGTAATTTGGAATTTGTAAATATTATTAAGATTCGTAACCTTTAAGAAAGTTACACATTGTTTTAATTATAAAAAAACATTGTGCAAATCGGTTTGATGAGATTTAGTATAAATAGAATCGTTACGAATGAATCTGGAAGTTTCAAAGTCGTTGTAATTATAAAGTTGTATTGTCTCAAAGAAACAAAGCTAATAAGGGCATAATTATAATTAAGTCGTAATTATGTTCGTTAGTAATTATTTTGTTACATTCATTAAGATTTTGATTCTTGTCCAGCTTTACTTTAGTTAGTTAGTTAGTCAGTTTTAATTTTTGGACTGATTGGAGTTCGAAAATTGTAACGTTACATTGAGTAAATAAAAACGAACGGAAAGATGTACTAGAAATACTCTAACAAAGGTGTATAACAACAATCTATACTATGATAATAAAGCGTAAACTCACACTTCTTTGTTGCCTAAGATGTCAACAAATGCAGCATATTTTTGAAAAATTCATTTTTTAATTCAAAGCCCTACACTTACGTCACGCTTTAGGCTATATATATTCACGCCATTAAACTTAGGGGGTGAATATTTTGGATAAAAACCCTAATGTGGAAAAGAGATCATAAGTTGCTGCCAACATCAAGGAAGCAAGATTACCGAGGTTTGTCATGTCATGTCATTTTGACATTTGATATTGATAATTTGACAAATGTAAACAATAAAATAAAATTTTTGTAATTTTATGCGGATAAAGCCGCACGGGAATAGCTAGTATTTTCTAATTGTGGTCAATAAGTCACACTTTGTAAAGAAAGACAAATTAATTTGTGTCCCAATGTTTTCCGAAGATCCATATCTTATTTTAAGAATTTTATCTATGTAGTTGTACATAATCGCTACATTGTTGTAACTTTTGTTTCAATTAAATTTATAAATTCCATAACTCGCTGTGAAAAATCTCGACGTTCATGCAAATTATATTTTATCATAATTAAATTGGCGAGTACAGCCACTGTACAAAGGAATTACAACGTTTTTTGCTGACAGAGAAAACACGCCAATTAGGGATTTCCATTTGAATTATATAATTGTTTTGTCTGCGGCGTGCACGGCTGGGATCAAGGAAGTAATGTGAAGTGCTATAATTAAAGCAAATTACGCATTTTGCAATGAATTTGGTGTGTTTATGTGTAGCTTTGTGTAACTGTCTAGGTCGATAAATATATAGTATAGAGGTATAAGATAAGCAATGAACTAATGCGCCTTCTTTGCGCGATTTACTTTATTTGACCGTTTGGTTTCTAGTTTTTGTATGTATAGCGAGAGAGAGGTGTATTAGGATCTCGATAAATGGAGGTCCGTGGTGGAGTTCTCTACTTACCACTTTGAGTTATGGCGTGAGTTATGTTATTGTTTTTAAAATGGTGTGATTACGCTTTTAAAAATGGATTGTTTATTGATGATAGTATTGCTAGCAGTCATGTGCATAACGACATATTTTATTTCCAAGTTTTTTACGTTTTATTAATCTAAGAAATGAAGGTTGTAATTTGTAAATGTAATCCCGAATTTCTTCATAAAAAGGTAAAAATATATAATCCCATTATTAAAGGTTCTATTGATGCCGAGTTCGAAGACTTGAATATAATAAAAATACAATTCGACAAAAAATGTTTTTCTGCCGACGCTCCTGCCCTCGGATATTGAAGGAAGCGTCCATCGAGCGTGCACAATGAAATAATAAACGGTCGTCCTCCAGCCGGCCCGCATTGGTATGCTATATTTTCCTTTATTATTTGCAAAGTAAATTTTCCGCATGCCCGCGCGAATATGCCCTTAGGGTTTTGTGTCACTACAAGTTCGTTATTTTCGTATTTGCTTACTCTAGTGCGCTTGCGGCTTAATGCTTTTTTTATTTGTGTAAATTGGCGAATGGGAAAAGGCGTCGCTCGGATATTTTGACGTCGATCCCACAGTTTTTATTCGGTCGTATAGATGTTTATTTTGTTTATTGGTGTATTATCGAAGGGTCTTCTTGATAGGTTTATAACGAGATTACACCTTTTTCATCCTGTTATATAATTTGACATATAGTAATTAAATTCCGAACTAAATCCCATCATAATTGTTACCTCTGAATTAAGAAACTATTCAAGTTAAAGTTTTACAAATATCGATCAAACGTGCAATAAATTAGACCGTCAATATTGTCAGATGGGACATGAAAGGACCGTCAAGTTGTGCATGTTAACTGCAAGGCGCGTGACTGAGGCTCGGATCCGGCCAGCAGGAGACGTCCCGTCGATGACAATGGCGTCGTGATCGCCCAACGTGCCCCGACGTGCCTCGACGTGCTCCGAGGTGCCCCAACGCACGTGCCTCGGAAGCCGACTGTCACGACGGCGGCTTTGTCATCTCCTCGACGACTATTGTTTCGATCATGTCGCAGCTAAAGAGTTAGCTACTGCAAGCTACTCGTATTAGTAAGATAAACTTAGTGGCTTTGAAATTAAGACAAGAAATAAATTGAGTTTGAGGATTCTTTCATATTAAGTGTTAGTAACTGGATAAGGAGCACACGTAAAAGGAAAATATGCCTAAAAATTCTCGAAAAATTAAAGTACTAAAGTACTAAAAAAAAAGATATTTCATAAATCTTAGTCTTAATCTCATTATATTTTAAAAACAAAACCTTTCGTTTATTGAATGTAACAATTTACTCGGTTGGATTAATAATGAAATTTATAAATGTAATCAACACGTAACATCATGTATCATGTTGACGGAGGCGTTTCGCAAACTAGTTATTGAAGATACGTCTTTCGTAAGAAACAAAAACTGGTGTGAGTCATAGCAATTATATTGCAACTGCAACGTTTAAAAGGAATTTTCAAGTTAAATTGACGTGCGATATATCTGATACTGTCTCAATAATCTGTTACCTTAAACTGCGGTGTATTTTACGCAAGATTAAAGGCTGCATTTAATAACATAAGCCTGTGTAATTATCAATATCTTATCGAATGTGCAACTCAGGCGAGATATTAATTACTAACTGATTTGCGAGATAATATATGAAAATTTTATTAAGATATCCGAAAACGTAATTTTTGTTATAAAAGAACACTTTGAATTGCTAACGTCTGCTTTCATTAGGTTAGGAATTAAAAAACTAAGTAAACTTAACACAGACTAAACTATTAATCTAGTTTTTTTTTCTTAGAAGAAAAGTTATATGACAAAAATTTTCAAGCGAAACTAAATTGCATATTTTCGGACAGTTTCAT